TAATTAATAAAATAATGTTTTTTGTAAAAATGATTGTTTGTATTAGAGCAATAATAATTAATAAACTTACTTTATTTGTTATTTAGTTGTCTTAAAGAATTCAAAACCCTGCAATTTAGCAGTAAAGAATTAAGAAGAGAAGACAGATCCAAGTAAAGAAAAAATTAGAATAATTATTATCACAAGTATCTTTGATATTGCCAGCAATAAAGATCCACTCACTTAATATAACACAAGTTTTGATCCAAATTAGTAACAGACTTGCTATTGAAAACAACAATATGAAGAAAGAGTTTTTATTTATTTTTTCTTCTTCAAGTTATTAATTAGAGTAGTTGCCAGTCTCTAGACTTCCTTGGTCAAACTCTTGTTGAAAACTTTCACTGCTTAATAATAGTTATCTGGATTATATTTTTTTTGCTAAAGAACATATTTCTATAGTTAAAGTTTCTTGAAGAAGAAAAACTTTTTTAAAAGACAATTTTTATAAAAGAAATTGCATATAGAAAAAAAGGTGTTATTATTATTATTGTGATATTAAAAATTTGTTATTTATTATAGTGATATTAAAAATTTGTTATTTGATATTTATCATTTAATTTTATTAAATAAAAATTTATAGTATTATATTAAATTTTATTGTATTGTATTTGATTAAGAAAATCAATCATTAATTGAAATAATCAAATAAAATGGAATAGGTTATTCGATAATTTTATTATAAATTGAGAAACATAAGTAAACTCAATAGACTAATTGATATGTGGTAATAAGTCACGATGAAAAATTTTAATAAATGACAGACTTGCTGCTTATCCTAAACAGTGTTATATTACTATACTCATTTTATTTATAACATTCATGTTTTTGAATAACATTCTTTTATTCAATGAACTTGACTTTAAAGAATTTTTATCAACTTTAACCTTTTTTTAATCAAAGAACATTAATAGCCCAATAAATAATTCTTGAAAATTTTTGATGGCTTATTAAAAAAACATTTAACAATGGTAATAGATCAATCAATGAATGTATTTTTATGTAAATGATGTTGAAAGTGAAGGGTATATTAACATAAGTTAAAATGCACAAGTTTAGTAAAAATTATTAAAAAAGAAAATGACTCATTAAAGAATAATAATTTACAAATATTTGTTCTTTAGTTAAAAGTTATCAACAATAAGGTATTAGTAAAAAACATTAATAGTGTATATGCATGAATGACATTTAATAAACTGTAATAAGCTGTGTACGCATCTAGCGCACACTAATAAATGGTTCTAGTCCAAAAGAAAGGAAACGAGACCCTGTGATTATAATCCGGACATTTCAGCAGCAGGGAACTCCAGGGTCATTGTAATCCTCGAAGCAACCTCCTTTGTAGCATACCATATCACCTTCACAATCGCCATCAGATTGACACGGTTCGCCGTTAGCACAATCCATTTTATTACCGCCAGGAGTACAGCGTTTGAAAAGGTGGTCATAAAGAGCTGCCAGAAAAATGTTATAGTACTGTTGGAAATCTGAATTTAGATAGAAATTATAATAGATTAAGATATTTTTACCTTTGTGGAGCGGTGATGCTTGAACCACCAGGACGTGGCTAATGAAAATAAAAGTGATAAAGTAGACAATGTATTTCATGTTCATAATTACGATTAAGTTTGGTTTTTTTTGTTCAGTTCCTGATCTATATATAAGAAAGGCTTGTAAGATAAGAATTTGAATACAGTATCTGTGACAAATCAATGATGCGTAAATCCACCTCTTCTTTTAAGGGATGTCGATCTGATGAATGATTTTCTTGGAAAAACCAACCTCATACGGATCCCGTGCGGAATACTGGAAAAAGACCTTTCCGGAACGTTCACGGATCATACGCAAATTAAAGTAAACATCATACAGTTAATCGATGAATACTGTCATACGTTTAAAAAAATTTTTAATTCTATTGTATATATTTGAGTTAGAAAGATAATTCTCATAAAAGAAAAGGCATTTTTTTAAGCCACTTGGGTATATACTATGTATATCGAGTAGCGCTTGTGTTGCGCAAAAGATGACAAAAAAAAAAAAATTTTTTTTTAAATTTAAAGTAATTTTTATTTATAATTGCATTAATATTTTTTCAATGTAACTTTCAATCCAACCGTAAGTACGAAAAAAAAAAAAAAAGAAAGTGGATGAAGATATTAAATATAAAATAATTTTAAAGTAATAAGTGAAAATATAAATTTTATATATTATTATTATTATTATTTGAAATACATTGTGCGAATTTATCATGAAATTTATCAACAAATATTTGTACTCTTACAATGTTATTTAACTCATCTTGGCAGTGCTCCGTGCTGCCAGAAATTTCTGTGATTTGTTAAATACAAGATAATTAGAAAGTTCACAAAAATTTTTTTTTTACTGTAATAAAACTTTATAATACGTGTAATATGTGTATTAGGTAATATTATAAGTTATATTATATTTGATTCTGAGAAACAACATTCGCTACTGCAATAAAGTCACGTGATTTTATGGATGCGTATTTTGTTAGATTTATACAATTCTCAAGAACCCAATAACCATGCAATGTATGCCGTTACTGTTGTTACTTTTATATATGATGTTCGATATTTAATTAGCATTACGTTACTAGAATTTCGAAATATTGAAGCCAATGATTCTTAATAAATTACAAAATAAGTAGCTGTAGTTTTTATCTTTAAAAGTAACAAAAATACAACCTTGTCCTTTAATTTATCTTTATTAAAGAAAATGTCAAATGCTAATACCTTTGATATGCAGTGCTTTGAGCTTAAATATGCTGTTTTATTAACGTTGTCATTCTAGGCGAGTCTGTCGCTAACCCGAGACCAACACTTGAGCAACGATAGGGGTAGATGTAGGTACGGTTCCTATCATTTTTTTATGCATGTTGCTATTTGGCCATTGGTATCAATAATACTTCCTTTCCAAACTAGACTTGTTTCTAATCCATGCCGCAGCTTCCTTTTTCGGCCTTACTGGATTCTAATTGAAAGATATTGTTCTACTAATGCAAATATTATCAATTTAAGGATCACGAAACACAAGATTATTGTTGTGTCTTTATTTCAACAAAATTCTCTCCCTTTGATAATTCTAATATATCTCTATTTTTACCAGCCACGACGCGTTTTAACTATTTAATGTCGCGTAATGCAAATCTCTGACGCCCATCACCAATGCATACTGTAATAGATGCATCAGGTTATTACGCCGTACCCAGCCCATCCAATTTCCCCACGGCGTATTACCTTAAATAAATAAAGATAAAAAATGTATAGCACAGACGTTGATTGTGAATTTTAACGTTGTAAACTACATTAATAAGATGAAAAAGGTTTTGATCACATGTTGATAGATTTCTAAAAATTTCTCCTAATTTCACTAATAAACAGTATCAATTTTATAAAATAAAAAATATATATTATTTTGCGATAATTTTGTTTATAAACAACAGGAATATTCGTTAAAAAAAGTAGTAAGTTTACGATACAATGAATAGGTAAATAACAATAGAAATAAGGTACAAATAAGAAAAAAAATAGATAATACCAAACGACGATAAAATTTTTGCAGGTCAATATGCTTGACCTGATATGAAAACAGGATATTTTCATATCAGAGATAGCTTCAGACCTTTTCATCAAAAGGTCTGATACTCAAATACATATTTGCTATAATAAATATATAGCAAATGTTAAATACATAAATATAACTAAATAGCAAAATATTGCTATAACTAAGCATATTGACCACAAATAAATATAAGTATATATAGCTAATGCTATATCGGGTGTGACTACATATAGCCAATTAATGCTATGTCGGGTGTAACTATGTACTGTATATATAGTTACAGTATACTAATAAGTATATGCAGCAAAACATTTGCTACTTCGCTAAATGTAAGCCCATATGACAACACACTCAATGTTTCTCGGAGAAACAAAAAGATATGTGCGTGGATTGTGTAATAAAAGAAAATACGCTTGATCATGAGGGTGAATTTAATTGCTATTGATTGTATGGAAGCGTGTAACGATATTTGATCTAAATTTGGGTTGCCAAAACATCTTTGACATTTCAAGTGTTCCATTTCTCTAGGGATAAAAAAATAATTTAATTTGCAAGGAATAAAATCATTGGCTCGAATAATATCGCGAGGGATTCGCAGACGAGTTTTGGTTTTTCTTTCTTTCTTTCTTTCTCTCCCTTTGATAATTCTAATATATCTCTATTTTTACCAGCCACGACGCGTTTTAACTATTTAATGTCGCGTAA